CAAACCTAGACATAAGAGGCAGGCTGGTAAAATTAACAAAATAAAGCATTTCAAAATAAAATTACGCAATCAAATGTGTTCGTAATCAGACACTGCAGAAAAACCACACGAACACACACACATACACACATCGAACTTGTGTGCGTATGTGACCGCTTGAAGGGGGGTGTGGTTTTGGGTGTCTTTTCACCGGAGCAAACAGGACAGAGGCAGAAAGTCTGAGGCAAGCAGTTAAGATGGATGACTTTAAATTAATTATGGAAGTTGAGAAACACAAGGAGCTGTACGACCCCCGAAAAACACGGTTATTTATGTACCCATTTCTGAAGAAACTGCTAGGATACAGCTGCAGAATCGGAGCGGGTTCCAAGAGATTCAACTGGCAGAAACAACTCATACCATAGGTACACACACACACACACACACACACACACACACGCACACACACACACAAGGTGTGTCCACGTTCAAGGAAAATATTTATTTATAATATTATTTCACACACACATACGTACGCGTGCGCGCGCACAAACACTCAAACGTAGAGGAAAAGAGCTGAGAAAAGGCAGAGAGGAAATGGAGGACACCAAGTGTTTAAAAGAAAAACTACAGCTGAGCCGAGGCGCGCCTCGACTGAGGCGCGTCTGATCTGAACTGAGGAGCGGCGAGCAGAGGCCGAATTTCGTGAGCGATTCGCTTCTCTGCGCTTCGCGGCGCTTCCGCGGCCGGTGTGTCCCCGGCGTAAGTCGAGAGGCCCAGACTTCCCTCTCCCCAGCCACTTGGGCCAGCTCCTCCAAGGAATCCCAAGGTGTTCCCTGTCCAAGTGAGAGACATAGTCCCTCCACCGTGTCCTGGGTCTACCTTTAGGCCTCCTCCCGGTTGGACGTACCCGGAAAACCTCACCAAGGAGGCGTCCAGGAGGCAATTAATCTATTAAGATTTTATTAAAAGTAACCACTTATAAATATTTACAGTTTAAACCAAATAACTGAGACAACGAATGAAATGATGAATGTGAGCTTAGATGTTATGTTAACAAAACCTAATTAAGTGTTTTAGAAAACTGGGATTTCTGGGTTGTAAAATAAATGCCTTACTGACTCAGCTCGGCTCTTTTTAATAACTGTTGTTTCTCAATTTGGACAAATCAAAAGTTTACAAGTTTAACTCAGACACCACTTAACAGAGGTTATTTCCCTTAATGTGAAGTAAAAATGTTAAACATTCTTAATAATATACCAATGTTATTGTGTGAACATACTGATGAAAAAATCATTATTAAATTCAACAAGTAGAGTTACTTGGTGTCATTTAAGATCTGACAGAAATGATAAGAATAAACATTTATGTCATCAGTGTAAAGCAGTCAAGACACCAAAGTCACTTCAGATGAAACAGTCATTGTTTAATGTCGTTTATCTTTAGCTGTAAATGGTTAGGGTCATTTTATGAGACATATATAAGACATGTTTTATTGAACGGGCTTACATAAAAGTCTTGTAGATAAGGCCACTGGACAAGTTAAGAGATATCCATTATCACCACCTCCTGGTGTCAGGTCGACACACCCTGTATCACTGCCGAAAGATAACTGTTGGCCCATTTGATGAACTGCATGGTCTCGGCCACGCTACAACACTGTTGCAAAACGCTCCAACAAAAGCCGGATATCACGTTCTGATGAAGCCAACAGGACCACATCATCTACAAAAAGCAGAGACCTGATCCTCACGCCACTAAAACACATCCCCTTAACACCTTGGCTGCTCCTACAAATCCTGTCCATAAAAGTTACGAACAGAATCGGTGACAAAGGGCAGCCTTGGTGGAGTTTAACTCTCACTGGGAACGAGCCCGACTTACTGACAGCAATGTGGACCAAGCTCTGACACCGGTCATACAGGAACCTTACAGCCCGTATCAGAGGGTCTGGTACCCCAAACTCCCAGAGTACCCCCCACAGGGCCCCCCGAGGGACGCGGCCGAATGCAGGCCACTCAAAAACATTGGTCCAAAACTGTTTTTATCACTTAAGAAACATCTCCAAACTGCAAAGGTTGGTGTCAAATCATGAACTTGAAATGGTTTTCCATGCCTTTATCACCTCTCGTCTAGATTGCCGTAACACACTTTTCACGTTTTAACAAAAAAGCCCTTGACCTCCTTCAGTTGGTCCAGAACTCTGCAGCGAGGCTCCTAACTGGAACAAACACAAGAGCACACATCACTCCTATTCTGATGTCTCTGCACTGGTTACCCGTTAACTTTAGAGTTCATTTTAGAATCCTGACTATAACTTTCAATGCTCTACATGGTCAAGCTCCTCCCTATATTACTGAACTGTTAAAGCCATATGCTCTGACCCAAGCCCTCAGGTCCACCCACCAGAACCTTCTAGAAGTTCCAAAGACCAGATAAAAAAGTCGAGGTGATTGCTCCTTCCAGACTGTTGCACCCCGACTGTGGAATGATCTTCCTTCATCCTTACGTAGCATTGACAGTCTGGACACTTTTAAAAAACAGCTAAAGACCCTTTTATTTAAAGCTGTTTTTAACTAAACCTTTTATTTTCTTATTTTTAACTCAAAATTGTTATCATCTTTCATTAGTTTATGAAATTTAGGACTTTATTTTTTCTGATGTTAATTCTGTTTTGAGATTATTATGATTTTATGACTTTGTTTTATTTTGTTTTGATCTATGTGAAGCACATGTGGTTCTAGGTCTGTGACAGGTGCTATATAAATAACATTTACTTACTTCTCCATATCCACAAACACAGTTGATGGAGATTTGTGGGATGCACATCCAGGGCCGTTCCACCACATCCCAAAGATGCTCTATCGGGTTGGTTGGGTAAACACCTACGCACCCTCCAGGACCCTCTAAGGGTATAAGAGCTGGTCCAGTGTTCCATGGCCAGGATGCAAAAAGCCTTGCAGTTCCTAGAGCTATACTCTTCCTATATACTCCACTGCATGGATAACATACGACATGCAAGTGCTAGCTACTTTAGTGCAATCATTTCCTCCAACAAGAACCACTCTAAAATACTCTTCTCACTGCTTAGGTCACTAACAAGTCTTCTAGATTCTTTATCATCTCACTGCATCTCCAATGAATTTTCTTATTCCTTAATGTCATTTTGCAATGAAAAAATCAATTGAGTTCATCATAATCTAGGTTTTGCCTCTGCTGTTTCCGCTCCTGATGAACTTCCACCTCCAACTCATTCATTTTCCACGTTTGAGCTACTATTCACTACTGATCCTGGATCTTGTTTGTAGCTCTAAGCCTTCCACCTGTCAGGTAGGCCCATTTTCCACAGCTCGGGCTAAAACCTGCCTTCCCTCCCTGGCTCCTCTTGGTTTCACCAGAATCATCCAGTCTATGGAAACTGCAGTGATCCACCCTATACTGAAAAAACCCTGGCGCTGACCCTAGTAACTTTAGCAACTTCTGGCCAATTACTAAACTGCCATCCATCTAAAAAAAAAAACTCCATCAGCACTGAAACAGCGTTACTTAGGGTCACTAATGATTTTCTTATGGCCGCTGATGCTGGCTTAATCTCCATCCTGGTTCTTCTCGACCTCAATGCAGCATTTAGCACAGCCTGCCATTCCACACCCCTGAATAGATCCTCTGCCATACGTATCTCTCACATTCTGTTTAACTGGTCCAAGTCAATGTACAATTAGAACCCACTTCCTTCAGCTGAACACTTTTACCTCCATTATTACGTGTGTAGTATTGTGTAGTAACTGGAGTTCCTCAAGGGTCAGTCCTCAGCCCCCTACTATTCAGATTTTATCTGCTCCCTTTTGAATCTTTTTTTTTTTTGTTGTAAATGTAATATTTAACTATACTCAGTTAAATATGTCAAGTGCACAATCCACCAGGCTTCCACCATCCTCACTGACTGAATGCTTGCAGATATTAAGTCCTGGTTTCTTCTAACTTCCTGAAGATGAACTCTGACAAAACAGAAGTGCTTCTCATGGGTACTCCATCACCAGTGAAGGCCACAAAGTTCTCAGTAGCAATAGAAAACACTACTGGCACATGCCTAGATCAGACTAAGAGCCTTGGTGTTATTCTGGATAGCATCCTGTCCTACTCTAAAAGGGTTCAGATGAAGGCATCTGGATTTGGTTTCTTAAAGACGTTTCTCTTCTCATCCGAGGAGTTTTGTCAGTTCTAACTGGAGTATGGGAGAGTCAAGCTTATAAGCTGTAGCTGTCTGTTGTTATTTAATGAGCAGAAGCTACTCTGAGTACCCCTCCTCTACCTGGTGAGTCATTAGCATCTGTTTCATTTGAACCCTTTTTGATTACCATGACCTGGATGACTGCGAACCTTCATCAGCCTATTACCCTGTCCTACATTCTCATATCAGTCCTGTCACTTGATCAGCTTACAAAACATCAACCGCCTTCTTCCATCTCTTTCTAATCACCACTACTTTAGCTTGGTCTCTTCTTGCCTGCATTATTTTAACTCACTCCCTTTTGGTCTACCACAAAAGTTGCTGCATAAACTCCACCTGGTCCCAGAATACTGAAATAGTACCTATAATGGGATTGTGTAGTTGTAATGTGTAGAGGTCAGACATAAACACACGTATGTCCCACCGACAGGGCTTCAGATTCACATGAATATAACCGTGACGAGGCATCAGCTTTTGCGATCTGAGCCCAGGTGGTACCTGAAGTCCAGATGAAACAAAGCCAGGTCAGACGCTCATCTCTGCTCCATAGCACCTACCTATGCAGTAGTTAAGACAGCTTAAAAGGTTGAATTACTACTGTGCACTTATTCCAAATCAAACACTCTCAAAACTTTTCTGTTACAGCTCACTAAAGGGTACCACTTCCAGGCTCATAGAGCTGTAACTGCTCATGTTGCACTGTGTGGGGTTCAAACTTCAGCTAGCAAAGCTACACATATCCTTCAGACACATTTTTCTCCAAAGGAAATCAGGAGATGAGGAGACAAGATTCGGAGTATAATGCATTTATTTCTGTCACTTTGGGTCAGTTAGGGACGCAGAACGTGGTTTGGTTCAAGTATTTACAACAAAAACTCCTCCGTCTGGTTTTAGTCCAAAGTGGTGCTGGTGTATGTATGAGTGTTCCATCACCACACACATCAGGGCCTCTATGCATGAGGAAGTGGACCCGTTTAGCCAGAAAAGTGAAACTCTTTGGTCAACATGGAGACGATGCAGGGGATTTGCTTCTTCCCACTATGCTCACGTTTGCTGGAGCTGGATTCATAGTGCCGCGCCACATGGTTGTTGACTCGGGTCAGAATCTGCATCAGCTCCAGTTCTCCACTGTAGCTTTCCAACATCTTACACAGCGACTGGATGAACCAGGAGCCGGTGTTCACATTTCTCCAGGCGAGGTAACCTGCATGTTGGTTTGTTAGAAAACAAAATCTGGACCGCGAGCAGAAACAGGAAGTGTTTGTGGTTACCTGGAGCTGTGGAGTACGCATACAAGAAGTCTGCTTCCACCGGAATCTTCTCGGAGGTCTGCCCTGCCACAGAATCAGTCTCTACTCCTTCATCCGTGGTCGTGCCACGACATGCCTAATGTTGAAGGACGTGAGGATTATGTCGCTGTGTGTGTGTGTGTGTGTGTGTGTGTGTGTGTGTGTGTGTGTGTGTGTGTGTGTGTGTGTGTGTGTGTGTGTGTGCATACACTTACCTGTATGAAGAAGAGCTTTGGTTTCCCTACCAGACTCAGACAGCTGTGTCCTTTAAAACATTGTACCAGGGTGTCGATCTTCTCACACCCATCGGTGCCGTAAATGACGCCCTCTTTTCCATGGCTGAGCAGCACACAAACAAAGGAAGCGTTCTCACTGTGGTCCTGACCCGAGTCTGCAGACACAACCAGAGTTAGAGCATCACCACAAGATTTCCATTCTTCCAAAAAACCCATGGAGCAACTGCAGCTTGTTCAGAATGCTGCTGCTAGAGTGTTAACAAGAACTAAGAGAACGGAGCACATCACTCCTGTTCTTAGATCCCTACACTGGTTACCAGTAAACTACAGAATAGACTTCAAAGTGCTCCTACTAGTTTATAATCACTCAATGGCATCAGACCAAAATACATGTCAGATCTCATTCCTGTGTACACACCCAATAGGGCTCTGAGATCCTTAGGGAACAATCAGCTGGTAGAACCTCGGGTCAGAACCAAACATGGTGAAGATGTATTTAGCTACTATGCTGCTCACATATGGAATCAGCTTCCCCATGACCTCAGATCTATCCCAACCCTAGAGTTGTTTAAAACTAAACAAAACCCTAATGCACTCATCAGCCTTTCCATGAATTGTTTCTTATGCTGCATCATCTTCACTGTAATCTGTGATGTAACTTTGTCTTCTCCTTTAGCTCTAAACTGTAATTCCATCTGTGTGTGTTTTAATCTGTGTTTTTATATCATGTCCTGACAATTGTAAAGCACATTGAATTGCCTCTGTGTTTGAGATGTGCTCTAGAAATAAAGCTGCCTTGCCTTAATGGTCGACTGAGCCCAAGTCCAACTGAGTTAACCCTCCATCTAACCACTGTTATGTGTGTGTGTATACACACCTAAAGGATTATCAGGAACACCACACTAATACGGTGTTTGACCCCCTTTCTCCTTCATAACTGCCTTAATTCTACATGGCAATGATTCAACAAAGTGCTGAAAGCATTCTTTAGAAACGTTGGCCCATATTGATCTTGCAGTTGATGGAGATTTGTGGGACGCACATCCAGGGCCGTTCCACCACATCCCAAAGATGCTCTATCGGGTTGAGATCTGGTGAGTGTGGGGGCCGTTGTAGTACAGTGAACTCATTGTCATGTTCAAGAAACCAATTTGAAATAATTTTAGCTTTATGACATGGTGCATTATCCTGCTGGAAGTAGCCATCAGAGGATGGGCACATGGTGGTCATGAAGGGATGGACATGGTCAGAAACAATGCTCAGGTAGCCCGTGGCATTTAAACCATGCCCAGTTGGCACTAAGGGGCCTAAAGTGTGCCAAGAAAACATCCCCCACACCATTACACCACCACCAGCAGCCTGCACAGTGGTAACAAGGCATGGTGGATCCATGTTCTCATTCTGTTTATGCCAAATTCTGACTCTACCATTTGAGTGTCTCAACAGAAATTGAGACTCACCAGACCAGGCAACATTTTTCCAGTCTTCAACTGTCCAATTTTGGTGAGCTCGTGCAAATTGTAGCCTCTTTTTCCTATTTGTAGTGGAAATGAGTGGTACCCAGTGGGGTCTTCTGCTGATGTAGCCCATCTGCCTCAAGGTTGTGTGTTGTGGCTTCACAAATGCTTTGCTGCATTCCTCGGTTGTAACGAGTGGTTATTTCAGTCAAAGTCGCTCTTCTTTCAGCTTGAATCAGTCGATGAGCGGCACAACGGGCCTCAGGATCTCGTCACAGTACCTCTGTGCATTCACAATGTCATCAATAAAACGCACCTGTGTTCATTGTTCATAACATACGCCTGCCCATACCAGTACCCCACCACCGCCATGGGCCACTCGTTCCACAATGATGACATCAGCAAGCCGCTCACCCACACGATGCCACACACAGTCTGCCATCTGCCCTAAACGGTGAAAACCAGGACTCATCTGTGAACAGACGTGTCAAACGCCATTAAATGTGAGTGTTTGTCCACTCAAGTCACGACAACGGACTGCAGTCAGGTCCAGACCCCGATGAGGATGACGGGCATGCAAATGAGCTTCCCTGAGACGGTTTCTGACAGTTTGTGCAGAAATTCTCTGGTTATGCAAACCGATTGTTGCTGCAGCTGTCCGGGTAGCTGGTCTCAGGTGATCCTGGAGGTGAACATGCTGGATGTGAAGGTCCTGGGCTGGTGTGGTCACATGTGGTCTGTGGTTGTGAGGCCGGTTGGATGTACTGCCAAATTCTCTGAAACGCCTTTAGAGATGGCTTATGGTTGAGAAATAAACATTAATTTCATAGGTAACAGCTCTGGTAGACGTTCCTGCAGTCAGCATGCCAACTGCATGCTCCCTCAAATGTTGCAACATCTTTGGCATTGTGCTGTTTGATCAACCTGCACATCTCAGGGTGTCCTTTTATTGTGGGCAGTCTAAGGCACACCTGTACATTATTCATGCTGTCATCAGCCCCTTGATATGCCACACCTGTGAGGTGGGATGGATCATCTTGGTAAAGGAAAAGTGCTCACTAACACACATGTAGACAGATTTCAGAACAATATTTGAGTGTCATGGGTGTTTTTTGCATGTAGAAAAAGTTTCAGATGTTTGAGTTCAGCTCATGAAAAATGGGAGCAAAAACTAAAGTGTTGCATTTATGTTTTTGTTCAGTGTACCTATACATATAAGTATACGTATGTGGAAAAAAATTCTCGTGATAGAAACCATTCAACACGAAACAACCACCCTTGACTAAAGCATGGTTGTGGCAGCACTGTGATGTGGGCATAAGTGATGCTAAATACTAGCCTAGAAATCTAGACAGACAGTAGCCAAAGTAAAGGGATTTGGCTCTGCAGGTGGGTCTAGCCACGCGGCACTGGATAGGACAGCTTGTCAGGCTAGCTAAATACCACATGATGCAAAGATTACCAAGAGTTATATTTGCATAGCAGACTCTGTACTGTGATTACATTGTTTCAACAGTCTTCTCATTTCTTCCACTTTCTGGTTTTTAAACATGACGGTGTTGTAACCCAGTTTCTTGAAGGTCTTGAAAACTTCATCAGCATCAAGATCCGTGCCTTTACGAAGGTCCATATCTAGAAGGAAATAACAGAACACGGTAAATTTGTGAAACAGGAAGTGTAGCCTGCCTCTTTTCTAGTCATCTTCTAATGCTAACTCATGTTGGCAGAAGATGTGGGTGCTTCTGAACCAAGAGAGAGTGGGCTCAACCCCAGTTTAGTCTCAGATTAACTAGAAATACAGAATGGTACCTAAACATCCTCCAGGAGGAACTCCTCCAACCATCTAACAACAGTTTGGTGATGAACAAGCCTTCTGCAGCATGATGGAGCACTGGGCAGAAGGATTAAGTCGGAACCAGTGGATCAGGACCAGAACATGAGCATGTTGGGTCCAGGAGATCCGGTGGTCCATCCTCCAGAGGCAGGAGGATAAACACAAAGCCAGCATTGATGATGAAGAAAGAGCTCCATCAGTCAGGACCTGGAGGTCAGGTTGGACTGTGGGAGTCTAGAAGGACCAACACTGGATATACTGAGCCTTTTTCTAAATGTGATCACAGCTTTTGAAACTTTCGACAAGCTTGTAATTCTTCAGTAACCATAGAAACATCTGAGTAGGAGTTCCAACACCTTCTCTAAGCTTTAGTCCACAGCTGTGATTCAAACCCAGCATGGAGAAACTTGATTCGTCAGGAGTTTGTACTCGTGGTAAGTATTTCCTGTAGGTCTTCGTTACTACTGTGTAGTTCTTATGTAGGTTCTGCACGTCCAGCACTGGCATGAGCTACATGATAGCCATAGATAACACCAGTTGTTACCTTGGGGTTAGGCTTCATTAACCTTTCACAGAAAACCACCTCGAGTCTGAAACAACAGCATGGAAGTGCAAGTCCACGTTTGCTTCTAGTCAGGTTCTAACACAACAAAAGACTTACTGGTGGATTCGTGGAACTTCTCGTTGTTGATGATGAGACAGGTTCCGATGCTGGGGTAGGCCATCTTGTAGCGGTAGGAGGGGTCAGAACCTGCTGCTTTACTTCCTGAGCTGGCAGGGACCTTCTTCCCACCTTCAGCTGAACTGAAGAGTTCAAAATACACAAAGACTCATGAAGACACGGATTCAGATCCAGGAGAACTAGTCAGGAACATCGAGGGTCTGATGGCTGAGTTGGGGTGGAGCTTGGAGAACTTGTTGTCCCACAAAACAGAAGGAAGCAGTTAAATGTTCCATTCAGCAGATTAAATTATGTTTGCTTGTGTTTCTGGTTTGGCCACCAGCTGATCAGTCCCAGACAGACTAAAGCTCTTAGCTTCAGGATCAGCTGTGCTGTGGGCCATTGTTGCTAGTCTCCCTTCCGAACAAGGACCGGCCACGAGGACCCCGTCCTCTGTGTTGGTGTGGTCGGAGTAGCTGGTGGGACTGGCGAGTCTCCACATAACTCAGTGAGGAGGAGTTTAGTGTTGGGGGTTAATGATGTACAGGTGACATCACTGGCAGATTGAACACTCATTTGTATAGGACGGCCTTCTCCTACAGATTTTGGTTTCTTGTTTTTAGTCTTTGTTTTGACTTCTTTTAACTAATTTTTATTTTCTTTTATCTAAATTTAATCTCATTTGCATTTTATTGTCCTCAGTAATGTCCATGTTCCTGTTTTGTTCTGAGTGTTTTGTAGATTCTCCTGTCCAGCGCCTTGGGCCCTCTGATGGTGGACAGGGCTGTAAGTGAAGCATGATGATGATGAAGGACCCTTTGGAGTGCTTCCTGACTTGTGGTGATTTTAGGCAGGCGCGCAGATAGGGTGGGGGACAGGGGGTTTCTGACCCCCCCCCCCCCCCCCCCCCCCCCCCGATCGACCCCGATCCCCCCCACCACCACCAAGGCCAGAAAGAAAACAAAACCGGAGGTTTAGCGCTTGAAGCTCCTTTTTCCAATTACATTGAATGCAGCATGACGTAAACAAACACCGACTCCAGAGGCACCTAAGTGGTTGCTGCTAGGACGCAGGATGAAGCGAAAAAGGCAAGCAACGATTACTGCGTATTTAAAAAAGACCAACAGTGTAAGTAGGCGGCACCGATCTGTCTGTTTATGCATGTTGGTTCTAGTTTCAGTACGTTGTTGTCAGTGTTGGGACTTACCGTAAATCCTCTAATACAGGCCCAGGCCTGTATTTGACTCAAGCTCATCAAGCTCCAGGCCTTTATTGGAAGGAGGGCCAGTATTAGAGGCAGGCCTCTATTTCTATTTGAGCAAAATGAACTAATGGTTCGCTGGAGTTTTTGACAATTAAAATTGCGCCCACATTTTCAAAGTTAAACACATTTCTTTTAACAACGGTAGTTTCTGCTTCAGCCCTCTCCCCCCTCCCCCTGCGCAGCGGCTGCAAACTCACTGATGCGCCTGCAGCCTCTCGGAGTTCCTGCTGCTCTAAACATTAAAATAATTATTTCATTTTCTTTTCCTCACTTCTGATTACCTTCAATGGTGTCTGTTTGTTGCAACCAGCAGGTACAAAAACTAACTTGTTTTTATTTGACTATTTTTCTGTCCTGCCTGTTTATTATCTTCCTGCATCTCCTCTCAATCCTAAAGAAAAACTGCTACCTGGGTTCATTTATATTCACCTCATGAGTTACCTTTGAACTGCAGTTCTAAAAGATCTACCGACCGCAAAAACAGCGGAGTGCTCGCTGCTTGGCGGCCGTATCAGTGATCGGTGCGTCACCGGAGGACAAGGTGATGCGCCCCGCTCCACAGCGAAACGCATCAGGCGCAAATAAAAGACAGAAAACATCAAAGGAAATGAACCGACATGAACGATCGCATGTTAAATAATTTTTTGAGGTGGCGACAACTGATTTGATAAAGTTACTGTGGCCGTGCTCAGGAGGCAGCTCTACCGACCGCAAAAACAGCGGAGAGCTCCCTGCTTGGCGGCCGCATCAGTGATCGGTGCGTCGGAGGACAAGGTGATGTGCCCCGCTCCACAGCAGCGAAACACATCAGGTGCAAATAAAAGACAGAAAACATTAAAGGAAATGAACCAACATGAACGATCGCGTGTCAGTACCGACGCTCTGGCACAGCGCGTTAGACCCCCCCCCCCCCCCCCCCCCCCGAGCGCAGGAGCTTGTCACCTGCTGACAGCAGGCTGCTGTCTTTTCTGAGGGCTGCATCTTGCCGGTCATTATCACGTGACAGCGACTAGTCGACGACAGGCATAAAAAGTCACTATAGTGAACTTGACTAGTTCATACAACCCCTGCTACTGCTCCCCAGAGTGTTCTGCAGCATAATCAGCACGTTCTCTTTGAACTTGATATCAAATTTTCTCCTCCTCTTCGTCTCCGCACGGTTAAAGTTACCCTCGCGGTCTATCACTGGCAAATCAAAAGTGAGACGATGACACAACCACCCCCCGTACTTGCCACAATAAGAGACCGGCCATTATTCACCTCCGCCGACTCAGACACCGGCCAAAATTGGAGACCCGGCCTTTAATTGAATACCGGCCTGTATTAGAGGATTTACGGTACTCGTTATAAGTGCCAAAGCCTCATTGCTGACTTTAACAAGTCTCATCTACAAATATGATCCCTCATGACGTTACATCAGAAGATAGTGGAGATGTGTAACCCTCAGGCTGAGCAAAGTTTGGGAGTTTTTAGAGTTTGAAAAACGCCTCCTGCCGAGAGGCTCCCAGACGGGAGAGGAGGAGAAGCACGCAGCATGAAGAGCGCAAATATTAGATAAAACGATATGAATGATACATTGTAGTGTAAAGCGCTTTGGAGTCCTTACTCTGAGAGGTGCTATACAAGTGCGGGTCATTTAAAACGTATAATTGCTGGCAGGTATGGTCTTTGTTGACTGATCACTTTGTCTGGTCATGACTGACTTTGATTATGAAGCAGAATATTGACTCTGATGAAGAAATTCACTCATCCAGCCGGGACGATTGACACTGCTGCAGCATCAGACAGCTGGTGCTGCACGAGAGGTGTGTGGAGTTTACAAGCTCCAAACGTTGGGTTTGATGTTGGTTTAACCTTCTCTGGGATGTGATGGATGTAGAAATGATGGTAAAACACAGCTAACGTGACAGACGTAGCGACAATGTAAAAAAAAAAAAGAAAGCCGTAAAAAAGAGGCAGAGGCAGATGCTTTTTGTATGTAAGTCAAAGTGAGCCACATAATCATAAAAAAAGTAAAATATAAAATTTAAAAAGAGATTAATATATTTATATATAAATAAAAACTTTCCAAATATAATGAAAATTTCTAAATAACGTAAAAATATGAAGGAACATCTGTTGGTCAGGCTGAAAAGTTTGGGAACCACTGCTCTAAGTGATAAGTGAATTTTGTTTTTAAATATATTTTATGTGCAGTTTTTTAGGCCTTTTATGTTTTCTGTAAAGATTGGTATGCTGAAAATCATTTAATGTTTTGCATAAAGCATGAGGTTTTGGTTAGTAATTGTTGATTGGGAGAATAACAAATGACTGAATTAAATAGTGGAGCGCCTCTTTCGGTGTGCCCCAGGGCAGCTGTGGCTACATCGTAGCTCATCACCATCAGTGTGTGAATGGATGAATGATACACTGTAGTGTAAAGCGCTTTGGAGTCCTTACTCTGAGAGGCGCTATACAAGTGCGGATCATTTATCATTTATAGTGTTGATCAGGCAGAGCTTTGTTGCCAGTGTTCCACTGCATAATGGCTTCAAACACGTATAAAAAAGTTAGTTTTTACGTAAACCATTGGATGAAATCACACAAACTGACTGAGCTCTAGTTAAGGCGCTTGCAATAGTTTGTGTATGTGTACATGCACGTGCGTGTGTGTGTGTGTGTGTGTGTGTGTGTGTGTGTGTGTGTGTGTGTGTGTGTGTGGGTGTGTGTGTGTGTGCGTGTGTTTGGGGGAGGGTACAATGGAACTTTGTCCCCCCTAGTTTGAAAATCCTATCTGCGCCCCTGGTTTTAGGGCCCGGGCCTGTGTCTCTGGACCGTTTTAGAGGTCTAGCTCAGGGAAGCTACGGAGTTGTCTGGTTCAGGTTTCCTGAGCTCTACCTTGTTTGTTTTTCCTCCATAAACGTTTATTTAAGACAACAACGCGGTCTCGGTAGCGTGGAGAACTACTGGTCATTAGACTGGCTTCTGAAAGAGTCACTGACAGGAGGGAAGAACGGAGGATTGACACACCTGTGTAATGTGTGCTCATGCTGCTGCTATGGTAGCCCCGCCCTGCTGTTGTAGGAAGTGGGTGTCTCCATCTCACATGCTTCAGTGTCCAACAGGAAGTGAGCTGCAGCGGCCACCGTCATTAATAAAACCGGCTGTAACACCGTTGCTGTCGGATTCTCTGATCGAGTCTTTGAAGAACCCAATCAGATGACAATTAGCAGCAAATGAAATGGCCTATCAGAGGAAAGCCCTTCTAGTCAATCAGAGACGAGAAAGGTGGGACATTTAGCTAATTGTTTACAGGTGATTGGTCCTTTTCTCATCTAGTCCCACCTGTTCTATTAGCTGATTGGTTCATTTGTCTGTTCCTCGCCTTTCCTGTCTTCTGATTGGTTTTTCATCTTTGCCCATTGTCCTTCAATTTCATCGATGAAAATGACCAATTTTGGTCATTATCTAATTAAATTTTTTGTTTCATTTTCAACTAAAGTGGCCCCGCCTTCTGCATAAATGGTGTCTCTAGGAACAGAGCTTGTAAAAACGCCTGAAGGTTGCTGCTTAATGGTTTTCATCCCATCTTTGGTTTGTGGCTCTAATTGGGTCTTTGTTCTGTTCAGCAGAGTTAACAGCTCAGTGTGTGTGTGTGTGTGTGTGTGTGTGTGTGTGTGTGTGTGTGTGTGTGTGTGTGTGTGTGTGTATGGGGTGCACACGGGTAGTAAATCACAGCACCAGAACATGGAAGTCTGGGTTCCTCAGGTACAAAAGGTGAGTAGAAAAGACAAACATGATCTTAGTCGACACAACACTGTCTGGTTTTTTAAACTGGTCCTCAGGGACCACTGACCCGCAGGCATGTCTCTGCTTCAGCACACCTGACCCCCAAATTCCACTACCTCCGCTCCGCTCCGGCACGAACTACGCAGCAAAATCGGTCCCGTTGTAGTCAATCAGAGCTATTCCATTACTTCGGCAGTGCGCCGCCCTCTGTTCCGGCGTCCGGCAAAAATAGAATCGATCCTATTTTTGCCGGACGCCGGAGCACCTCCGCAGTCAATGGACAGGAATCACAACCGCCCAACAGGAAAGGGAGCAAGCACAGCTTCCGTTATTTCACAATAAATCAATAAACAAAAGGCGTTTTTTGTTTCATATGCACAGGTTTAACAACTTTTAACAACTATCAATGGCGGCTGAAGTTTAAATGCACAAAAATAAGCCATAAATACAGTTTCCACTATCAAAGTAGTCACACTTTGTTGATCCAAACACTGCTGATCTCTCAACACAAATGATGGGCAGATTAAACAGTTCATTTTGATGCTTCTCCCACACAACGGTGTTTGGATCTAACTTCCGCGTTTATTGCTCGGACTGTATCGCAAGATCTCGAAAATCCCGCGCATGCCTGTTTGCCCACCTCAGGTCTCCGCACCGGAGCGGAGCCGATGTAGAGCGGGTACCAGTAAAAATTGAGTTCGGAAGCGAGCAGCTGCGGAAGCGGAGGTAGTGGAATTTGGGGGTGAGTTACACCAGCTGCTCAGGAGGACATCAAGTGCTGCAGATGCCCGTTAATCACTCATTCATTTAGGTCAGGAGTGAGGCAGCAGGGACACGCTGGTGTTCCATAGGGCAACATAGAAAACATGCAGATCCCTGAGGACCTGGGTTGGGAAACACTGATAGTGAACCATGAAGTAACTAGCTGTTAGCCTATCAATTCAGCCAGGACTGAGGTTGAATCATCTGAAACAAGTTAGACTTTAATTCTTCGTAAATGTTCCACAGAGCTCCACGTCAAACATCTGACCCGTCCCTTAGACCTGCTGGGAGGAACGAGTTAATCAGATGAATCACCTTGTGACTGGCCAAGGCATGGCGTCCACGGAGTCCTCAGCACCTTTCTGCTCGCCACCACCGCTGGAGACCTCAGCCATGTTTCTGCACACCATCAACAGAACGAGTTCAGATGGAATTCTGTCTTTTCTCCTGTCCTCCTGGGACCATGTGAAGACACGTCTAACCTGCTTCATTCTCCTAAACAAACAATGCTTTATTTATTCATGCTCATGAGGTCCGACCACACGATGAATGCATTTTATAAACAGAAGCACCTCACTTATTCATCTAGACGAGGTGCTGAAGCTCAAACTGAGAATCAGGCTGAAGAAAGGAGATGTAAGAGACTGGTACCAGACGGGCTGGTCCGAGTATGCCAGAACCTGGCAGTATGCTGGGATTTGAACCCACACCCCCAGACTGGTTTGGATGACGGATCAGAACGGGTTCCGACCAAAGTCTGAAGAACTGTCCCAGAACCACAACATGCTGAACTGCAGCAGCAGAAGACCACACGGGATGCAGCAAGACCTCAGTCCAGAACTTCTGGGATGTGGTGGAAGTGGAACAGAGGGTTGTCCTCACTGCTGTTCCTCATAGGTCTGAAGCCCCTCAGCTACACAACCAACAAGACTGGAGATGGACACTGACAGTCATCCACATGGATGACATGAAGCTGGACACCAAGAGCGTGCGAGACATCCACTCACTGATCCACACCAGGATCAGCAGCATTGATGTTGGAATGTCACCTGGAGAAGTGTGGTCAGATTGTGACAAAGAAAGGGAAGGTAGTGCACACAGATCTCACTCCCAGAAGGACAGCTACAAGTACCTCGGTAAAACCACAACCTGACTGTAAGGAGAGGAGTCACAGCCAACAGGATCCCAGCAGCTACTCACCTGGTTCATGATCCTATGATGAAAGCTACAGGCTAGCTGTGGCTACACTGTAGCTCATCACCACCAGGGTTTGCATGAGTGTGTAAAGCACCTGGGGGGGTGGGGGTTCTAGGGCTCTAACAGGCCATGCTATTGTGCCCTGAACAGCATTCCCATTCTGTCAGCAGAGATGGGATTTCTAATGAAATCTGTCAGAGCTTTAGTGGTTTTATTTATGAAGAACTTCCTGCTGTAGCTCCACGGGTCTGGTTCTGATGATACTCGCCACCAGGAACGTAGATGGAACTGCTCATGACCTCTGACCTTTAGTACGTCAGTAACAGTAAGAATGAAAATGAAACTTCTCACCAGGTGAAATGAGTCATCCTTGGACACAAATCATTTGTAGCGTTTCGGAGTCACAGAAGAGCTGATCTGGGGTAAATTAGTAGCAGAAGATGATGTACAGGAAGTGATGTAACAGCAGAACACCTTTACCTGGAGCTACAATAAACACAGGGCCAGAATGACAGAACAGCAACATACCTTTCAGCACAGGTGTAGCAGCGACTTGGTCTCACTCCCAAATGCAGCAGCTCCCGGAGCACCGAGCTCTTATCAAATCCTGAAACTTCCACCAATCAGCACAGCAGTTTCTGGGGTGGGCGGAGTTTAGAACTGCCTAGTTATGCTGGAAAGCTTTTCCCGTTTTCGTTAACTGCTGTTCTTCAGAAAAATCCCAATCACAGCAGAATATTCAGCGTTTGTTTAAGCAGCAGCAGGGCACGCCCTACAGGGACAGCTTCACACGGGGTACACATCTCAGCACAACGGCACATGATGCTGGATGGCTTCTTGCTGCATCGTGATCTGTGCGTGAGTCTGGGTTCAGGTAATCTCCCTCCGCTGTAGCTGATGGATAAAAACAACTCCTGACTTGTAGGGTTGAACAAAATCCTTTTTATTTGTTATAAAAGGTTTATAAGTAACAGGAACATCTCCCCCCCATATGCTGAACACGACACCACATACGGAGCTGTGCTTGGAGCAGCTCCGCCTTCTCATCTTCATGGCTGATGACCTGCCTCCTGAGCCAGACTCGTCTCCAACAGCAGAGCTGCTAAGCTGGAGGCTCCATACTGCAGAGATAAGAAACAACCTTTAATACAGCACCCCTCAAAATAGAAATCACAAGAGCGAAAAGTAACAATAAAGCATAACATAAAATAAAGATGGGAAAAAGGAAAAGCTGTGGTTAACGATGTGAGGAGAGGGAAAACTACAGGAACTCAGGATCCCTGAAAAGACAGAATAGGTAGACAGCAGAATAAGGGGAGGAAGGTGATGAAGGTCACGCAAAAGCCAGACACGGGTTTCTTCCATAAGTCTTCTGCATTGGTGCTTTAGGCTGTGAATGTAAACCAGGGTCCACAGCAGGACCTGATCTGGTTTTGACAGGACAGATGTTGTCAAGGACAGAGAGGCAGTGCTCATTAAAGTGGTTGAGCGTTCCACAGCTTTGGGGCAGCATGGACAAATGCTCGTTCACCCCGTGGTTTGTAACGCATCCGGGAAGTGCAAAGCAGCAGGTCAGCCGACCTCAACCTGGGCGTGGGTACATAGGGAGTGAGCAGGTCAGAGAGATGGGGAGGTGCCAGGTCGTTGAGTGCTTTAAAGACAAAAGTCAATAGCTTCAACTGTACTTGGAAAATGATGGGGAGCCAGGAAAACGTGACAGGACAGGGTTAATATAGCTACGTCGGTGCGTGTTTGTCAAGAACCTGACAGCAGCGTTCTGGATGACCTGCAGCCGATTCAGGGCTGACACCAGAGCACCAACTAGGAGGGTGTTTGCATAGTCCAGGTGTTGTTCGCTCTTCCTTAATGAAAAGTGCACCTTTCCTGCTGTGAAACACGGAGAAGGTTGGCTGATGTTTTGGGGATGTGCGAGCGAACAAGGCTCTGGAAACCTGCTCAGAACTGATAGTAAAACGAACGCAGCAGCTTCAGAAATCCTGGAGGAGAATTTGTGCTCATCAGCCTGAAAGCAGACTGGATGTCCCAACTAGGCAATGATCCAGAAACCAAGGCCGAGTGGACCTGCCAGTGGCTCCAGAAGAATAAATGAAGGTTTTAGAGTGGCCATCTCCGTCTCCTGGAAGTCCTGTGGGACGAGCTCTGACGTGATGTTCATGACAGATAATGGGTTAACAGGAAGCTTTTTGTTCAGAATGGACCGTTACCGTTAGATTATATACAGAATAGGGTTGGGCATCGTTTGATTTTGAACGATTCCGATTCCAATTCCTTGTTTTGATTCTGGTTCCTATCGATTCCCGATTCCGATTCTATCAAGACATGACATGCTTTACATGAGCCAGCTAACCACAGGTCCTACTTGATGAAATAATCTGAACTTCAACATGAGTTGTAATTCTATGAACAACAACATCACCTTCATTTAGACAAAATCGTGTTTTGGAGAAAAAAAGAAAAAGACTTGCAGCACAACCAGTGTGTTTGTTTCTGACCACGACCAAAGTCTGGAAGAAGCCTCTGGGATGAGAGGCTAAATATCTCCAACACATCCAGAAACGTCCAGCTGTTTTCAGCTAAAACTCTCAGGATGATCATGTCCAGGATGACTGAGAACTACACCTCCATGCTGCAGCAGCACTCAGTCAGGACAGGAAGTGAAACTTAAACGTAGCTGCTGTCAGTAACAATCTAACAGATTTTAAACATTAAAACTCTCAACAGAAATAGTTCAGAAAGGAAATTAAAATGTTCACAACTTTGTGTGTGATTTATTATTATTATTATTATTTAATGTGGCAGAAGCTGGTGTGTTCCACCACAGAGAAGATGCTCTAACTTGACTAATTATTCTACAGGTTATTGTTCAGCCTTCTGACGCTCACACACACACACACACACGAGCATTGGTGAGTAGCTGCGTCTGACTGCTGAAGCTCCGTGTGTGTTTTTATTCCTGCAGTGAGACAAACTCCAGAGTTTGTTCTTTAAAGCTTCTATTAAATGTTGACGCATTTTAACAAGTGTCCTCTACACTGCAGGAGTTAAAGTTTACATTACGGAGTAAAAGTTCGGCAGAGGCGTTTGTTTATATTTGACTGCTGCGTGCCGGGTGGGGTGGGGGGGTGGACCTCGGTGCAGCACAGACAGCTGGTATGATCAGCTCTGAAAAGCGTTGATCACAATTTGCAGATCACGTTTATTTTTCCACGGAGATCGGCCGCGGATTCCTCTTCCGTCGGCATTCTAGGAATCGAAACAAAAAACTTTGAACGATTCTGGGAAAAATGAACAGTTGGAACCGGTTCCAATCGATGCCCAACCCTAAATTACAGAACCTTCTCCACAACGACCACAAAAGACACCAAGATGTCATTGATGTTTCAGGAACTGGGGCGAGTAAACCTTTTGACACAACTATATGTACAGATGTCCATAGAGCACATGCCTCCTGTCAATCTCCTGATGTCTTTTGCTCTGATGGTCACATAAGTGAAGTTGTGGCATCTTCTGTTAATCATCCAAGTCCAACCCCTGTCTAGCCGTGACCACAAATCAACGTTATGAACACAATGACTACCACCTTTACCGTCTCTTTGTCAGCGCGGCGCTCCAGGTAGAGCGAGTGAAGTCTTCTGATGTTCTGGAGGAAGGCCTGGCCTTGCTTCAGGTCAGCTAGTCTCTGTTGGAGTCCAGTCTCCTCCTTCTGGAGCAGCCACAGCTGCCTCTCTGCCCTGCAGGGTAAAGCACATGCTGCAGACCCTTCTAAAGACCCCAAAGCAACTGTTTCTCACCTCATCAGCTCCTGTTTTACTTCCAACAGCCTCTGTGTCTTTGTGTGAATCAGTGACCCCACCTGACACACACACACACACACACACACACACACACACACACACACACACACACACACACACACACACACACACACACACACACACACACACCATCAACACCACAGCTGCCAGTCTACAGGAACCATCAGGCAGGACATTGTTACCTTGGTGTTCTTTCTTTTTCTCGCCTGAACCTTCTCAAAGTTAGAGATCTGCAGAGAAGAGAAGAAAGGACCATCTGAAATTCCCATGTCCTACAGGTTTGTGAATGTTCTGTGATCTACCCTTTCCCGAATCAAGACCATGGTCTCAAATTTAGAGGAGCTGATTCTCATCTCAGCTGCTTCCCACTCGGCTGCAAACCGCTCCAGCGAAAGCTGAAGTTCACGTTCTGATGAAGCCAACAGAACCACATCATCTGTAAAAAGCAGAGACTTGATCCACAGACCACCAAAACGGATGCCCTCCACACCTTGTCTGCGCCTAGAAATCCTGTCCATAAAGGTTATGAACAGAATTGGTGACAAAGGGCAGGCTTGACGGAGTCCAAATCTCACTGGGAACGAGCCCAACTTACTGCCGGCAATGTGGACCAAGCTCTGACACCGGTCATACAGGGTCCTAACAACCCGTATCAGAGGGCCTGGTACCCCATACTCGCGGAGTACCCCCACAGGGCCTCCTGAGGGATGCGGTCAAATATCTTCACCAAATCCATGTAGTGTTCAGCATAAATGAGTACACCCCTTTAAAAAGTACTAATTTAATCAGCAGCTCGATGAACAAAAGAACAGTCTCCAGAATGTTCTCCAGGCTGGTTTTATGGAACACGTGTTTAACTCCATAACATGAAATTAACTTTAATAAAATAAGTTAGATACAAAATCTTCAGTTTTACTAAAACCGGTTGAAGCAGAAATGAATCCACCCCACAACAAAAACTACTACATCCAGTATTTATTATGACCAGGGTGGTTTCCAAGGACAGCACCAAGTCTTCTAGGCATGGGATGAACAAGATGGAGACATATGGCAACATCTGTCTTTTTCCATTCTTCCAGAAGAACTCTTCTAGAGCCTGGATGCTGGATGGAGAGTGATGCTCTACTTGCTGCTTCAGAATTCCCCACAGGTGTTGGACTGGGTTCACATCAGGTGACTTGTCCATCCAACCACCTTCACCCTGTTCTTCTTCAGAAATGCAGCAGCAGCTTTAGGCGTGTGTTCTGGATCAGTGTTAGAAAAGTGCACGACAACCACGTGCATGGAGTGATGGCAGCATCTTCTCCTTCAGTACAGAGCCGGACACTGTTGAGTTCATGATACCATCAATGAGATGCAGCTCCTCAACACCAGCAGCACTCATGCAGCCCACACGAGGACTTCCATCTTTAACGGTTTGGATCACTGTTGCTACACTATTGTGACTGACGTGTGAAGCTGTGCTGATCTTCTTGTAGCCCTCACCTTTTATGTGTAAAGAAATTATTTCCTTTCTCAGATGTTGGGACATTTCTCTTCCATGTGGAACCGTTGCTGACATCATGAAATGGGAAGGGCTTTTCTTTGTGCAGTAATGCTCTTTTATAGTCACCTGTCTGCTGGACTGCTCTTAGATGATTCATCAGACTCACCTGTGGCTGAGTTCCTGTCACGCCGGGGACACACCGGCTGCCGAAGCGCCGCAAAACGGGTACCGCCTTCATTCGGCGCCCTTGTTATCCTATTCTATAGACCACATGGGCCGCCGAAGCGCCACGCGCCAGCCCGCGGCGATCGTTTTGGCGTCTGCTCTATTTTTTTTGCGAGCCGCGGTTCAATTCTGGCAGGAAGTCAAACTTAGACATAAGAGGCAGGCCGGTAAATTGAACAAAATAAAGCATTTCAAAATACAATTGTTCCGTTTTTATAATACTGTGATTAACATTTGATGAATTAAGCGGCTCTAATTACTATTATATTAATTAATTTATCATGGCTCCAGGTCTCAGTCGTTCACCACAGAGAAAAGGTGGCCTAGAGGCTGACCGATGTGGGTTTTCTAAGGCCGATATCTAAGGTTGATATTTATACATTTTAGCAGCACATTGATTGTGAAAGACAACCGAACACTCACTGTGTGCTATTTAAATTAAATAGGTCAATAAATCTCTTAAAATGTATTGAACTTCAAATAAAAAACAAACTCCAAACATAAGAAAAACAGGTGTTGGGGTCCTTCCTTCAGTCTAATAGTGGCGACAGTCGCCACACAGGTGCCTGAAGGCAGATAGAGAAATGATTGAATATATCGGCCGTCCTCCGGTTTCTCGGCCCTCTGACACTTACGCTCACACAGACGAGCGTAGCCGTCTTAGCTGCATTTGGCTGCTAATACGCGTTTTTATTTCTGCAGCGAGCCTTAGAAACTCTCCTCGCTCCACCCAGTGTGTTCTTTAAAACTCGTGTTGAATTCACCGTGTTGGTGCATAACGAGCTTCCTTTTTGTTTTCAGGATGCAAACTTGACGTCAGTCTCACGGAGTAACATTTCAGCAGACACAGGGAAGGGACGCCATGCTGCACTCACAGTAAAGTAGGAGCAACGGACAGCTGGTGTGATCAGCTCAGAGGCATTGATCAGATTTTTCAGATCACGGAGATCAGCCACAGACGACTGGGAATAACGGACAGTTAATCCTGGTTCCAGTCATGCCCAGCCCTAGTCATTAGTAACACTTCACCATGAGATAATGTGGGAAAGCGTCTAGATATCGGTATCGAGGGTAGAAACACCAGTGTCGGCCAGCTGCTAGTCATGACTTAAGTCTCTTTGTGACGGAGTTAAAGTTAGCTCTATCCACCTTCCCCGGGAATAAAGGACCAGACCACATCAGGTAAACACGAGGAGAAAACAGGGCCCTGGAGTGGTGACGCAGCAGGTTAATAATCCGAAGTGCTCAAGGCAAAGAGATTGGGTGGGGAACCACCAGAGGCAGCACAAACGAGCAGGTCCCGGAGTGGAGGGCTGAAGGAGTCAATCCAGTTCATTTATGAAGCTCCACATCAGGACCAGAGTCGTCTCAAGGACCTCACACAGTAAACAGGTCAGGTCATCACGCCAATCAGTAACAAGTTTCCTATATAAGGAACCCAGCAGGTTGCATCGAGTCACTGACTAGTGTTGCGAGTCTTTACAGCAGTGTCAGCAGCTGTGATGGAAATGTGGTGGACGGGATCTTGGTGGAGCAGAATATCAGTAGGGGTGGAGGTAAAAGAATGTGGTACTACACCTGTTCCAGGAGATGCTCTCGGACGTTATCGGAGAAACAGCGGACGGACTGTTTGACTGCTGCAGACTCCACAGTCTCACTGAGAAGATGAAGACAAACCGAGCCGCTGCTTTACTTCTCCTGATGGAACATGACGAGATGAACAAGTGTGACGTTTACCTGTACTGGTCACAGAAACCCAGGAAGGCATCTAGAACCACCTGAAAATGGGTTCCTTTCCGTGCCAAGGGCCTGGTCTTCTGTCTGTGCCTGCTGGCTTCATCTCCAGCTGGTGCTCTGCCTTCATGAGGAACAACAAGTGTAATGCTCCAGAAGAAGCTCATCACCACAGAGAAGTCAATAACTCTGCTCATCTCTTTCATTTCTCACCTGGCTTTCTAGACGTTGAGCCTCTATAGGAGGACTTTACAGGCCCACCAAGTCCCAGCACTCTAGTCTTCTTTGCGTTTGGTACCCAGATGTCTTCTTCGCCCTCTTCCTCATCAGAGGTCAGAAGCCCTCTGTGGCAATGCTGGACTCCACCAGATTCATGCTCCTCCTGAAAGACGGTCTACAGAGAATCAGAGCTGGAAGTATTTTCACCGACTTGGACATGTAGACATGGAGATCTTTACTTCTGATCCAGCTTCTCTCTCCTCGTCCTCCTGCTGCAGAATCTCAGCTGGTCTAGTTGGAAAAGCAGGAATGAATCTAGTCAGTGAGACTAAACCAGACCACTACTAAACAGATGTGTGAGCAGACATTAGCATCAGTAGAAGAACGTTGGGCTGTAGACATCCCTCCTCTGCTGTGTTGATCAGACCTTCAGCTTCTACTGCAGGGCTGTTCCGGTCCGGGCCTGGAGGGCCGGTGTCCAGCATGTTTCAGCTTCAACACGCCTGATTTCAATCAGCAGCTCATCAGGCTTCTGATCAGAGCCTGATGAGCTGCTGCTGGTGAGTCACCCACTGAATCTCGTGCGCTGGAGCAGAGAAACCACTAAAACATGCTGGATGCTGGCCCTCGAGGCCCGGACTTGAATAGCTCTGGTCTACTGCATCATGAACATACAGCAGAACTTATGACCCTCTAAAGGTCGTTCATGTCACACAGCGAGAACTCCAGAAAGGTCTCACACGGTACGACAAGACTTCAGCGAGGCCGACCGAGCGGCGTCTCTCTCCAGCAGCACACCTACCAAAGCAGACGTCGCTAAGCAGACCGCCAACCAAAACACTTCTTCTAAGTGTCAGCTCATGACCCAGCTCGTCTTCCTCAAAGAGGAAGCCTCTTTATTAAAACCCTCGCGTTGGCGTCAGACTCCGGCTGCAGGTCTCCTTAGAGAAACCTACTCATGCTTTTATTTCTAGTTGGCTGGACTACTGCAATGGTCTCCAAACTGGTCTTCCCAAAAAACCCATGGAGCAACTGCAGCTTGTTCAGAATGCTGCTGCTAGAGTGTTAACAAGAACTAAGAGAACGGAGCACATCACTCCTGTTCTTAGATCCCTACACTGGTTACCAGTAAACTACAGAATAGATTTCAAAGTACTCCTACTAGTTTATAATCACTCAATGGCATCAGACCAAAATACATGTCCGCTCTCATTCCTGTGTACACACCCAACAGAGCTCTGAGATCCCTTGGTAACAATCAGCTGGTAGAACCTCGGGTCAGAACCAAACATGGTGGAGATGTATTTAGTTACTATGCTGCACACATATGGAATCAGCTTCCCCATGACCTCAGATCTTCTCCAACCCTAGTGCTGTTTAAAACTAAACTAAAACCCTAAATCAGCCTTTACATGAATTGTTTCTTATGCTGCATCATCTCCACTGTAATCTGTGATGTAATAGCTCAACCTTAAATCTGTCTTAAACTCTAAATTATAATTTAATCTGTGTATATTTTTATTTGTGTTTTTCTGTTTGTTGTTGAGCCATTTAATGCTATTATAAAGCACATTGAATCGCCCGTGTTTGAAATGTGCTCTATAAATAAAGCTGCCTTGCCTAACTGTAGCCCACTGACCCATCATGGTGAACGGTGTTCTCCAGTGGGATGGCCTTTGTCCACCAGGAGGTTGGGACATTGGTACACCTTCATCTATGAGGCCATGCTTGGATTACTACCACCTACAACTTAATGCAAGTCTGTGAGAAAAACCAACAGCTGATACTCTGTGTTCTGTTTGCTCACACCGAACCGGGCAAAAGGGCTTTGGTTCACTCTGCTCCTCCTGCATGGAGCAGGCTGCAGGAAAACTGAAAATGAACCCAGTTTGACTACATTTAAAACCAGACTGAGAACCCTTGAGACGGATTCCCTGTGTTGTCACTGCCTTCTGTAATCCAGGACACCACATGTCTGTGTAACTGTAACTTCTGCTGCCTCTTGGCCAGGACTCCCTTGAAAATGAGGTTTCAATGGGACCTTCCTGGTTAAATAAAGAATAAATGAATACAAATGTGAGATTTCCATCAACAGCAAAGAGATCTCATGTTTTTGTGGGGGTTTTTTTATGTTCGTGAGCTCATCTCACACATAATCAGTTTTTATAATGTATCTGATGGTCTAAATGGTACTTTCATTATTATAGTATAACTGCGGTTTAACTTGGGCTATTAACAGAAATAATAACTTGGTGTGTAGTTTATAATCCACATTTTAAACCAAAGCTCAGAGAGGCAGAGTCTTGCTGCTGCGGCATACCGAAGGTGTGTTTTCATTAGTCGGTTGCAGACGGGAGTCGTAGGTTTTCAAGCATGCTTGAAGACTGTTGGACACTGATTTGGGTCGTGGGACGGCTCATAAAGCTGTCGCAGAGCGGGTCACACTGGATGATCACAGATTTACAAATCACCCTCACCTTCACCGTTTTTTAATCAAATGATGCTCCCAACGAGGGATCTGGAGGAGTGTGTGATCTGGGCCTAAGACAGTTTCAATCCCTCTCACATAAAGCATCTCAGCAGCTGGCCACGCCTACCCACACCATGACTGGCTGATATGAGGTGAGCAGTGCAGAAACCTGGGAGGGGCTTGGAGTAAAGCTGCTGCTCCTTCAATGTCAGCAGTGCAACATAACTTAAGGACACCACGGACGTCTCCGCCCACATGCTCTTAGACGTCGAGAAGGCTGCATAACCCTGACATCAGGGTGTGAACAAAGCCTGGCTGCACAACAGATGTTGGTAAAAAGAGGGTGTGGGGGCATCTCCGCGCTGTTACGGACTTCCCTTTAGCTTACACATAACTTGCTTTTTATGACGACTGAAGCTGCTCCTAAAGGTCCCTCCACGGTTCCTGTGAACCTTCTTGTGGCCTGAGCTCCAGCTCTAACGGAGACAAGCTCCTGGAGCTCTGCATCGCTCCATTTTATCCTCTCAGCTGATTCAGTTTACAAAGTTTACTTCTACTTCCAGTACAGTTACACAGCCTGAGCTCGGTGGCAATTCAACACGCGTGCATGACACCACCCTCTGCTGTACGAAGGCGAGACCTTGAACTAGGAGTCTGCCATTGCAGTAACAGGACTACCAAGCTTTGAAGCCATATTCCAGCATTGCCATGCAGCCACGGCGCTTTCATAAGACGCACTGTGGCGGCATGGCGCCGTGTTCCACGGATACGTATAAATGGTAAACGGCCTGTATCGCTCTAGCTTCTTAGGGTTCCACAACCCCCCAAGGTGCTTCACAACACAACCAGTCATTCACACGCTGGTGGGGGTGAGCTATGATGTAGCTACGGCTGCCCTGGGGCAGAGGCGAGGCTGCCATAACACAGGCGCCACCGGTCCCTCCGACCACCACCAACAGGCAAGGTGGGTTAAGTGTCTTGCCCAAGGACACAACAGCAGTGTTGTCTGGTGGAAGCCGATATGGAACCTGCAACCTTTGGTTTACTGGACAACCCGCACCGAGTTACGACTGTCTCATGAATGAAAGCAGGAGTTGTTTGCTGGTCAGGAGCACACAGCTCAAACGTAACGCCTCCTCGGTCGCCAGTTCTGCTCTTTGTTTTTACGGACAGAATTTCTCGGTGCAGCCGTAGGGTGGAGTGTGTCAAGTTTGGACCTTTTCTCTGCTTTTTTGCTAATGATGTGGTCCTTTAGCCTGGCAAGCCAGACTAAATAAATGTATTATTTAGTCTGGCCACGCTCCATTGACGGCTCTCGGTTGTGGGGCGGGTTCTACCGTTGTCTTTCAAATAATCTCCACATTCCACTGGACAATGAATGTGACATACTCTTGTTTCACTCTGTTGCATCATCCCACCCACCAGGCATATAGAGTGCCCTGATTGGCCCACAAAGTGGATAAAGCTCTGTGATTTGTTCACTAAGCAGATAGAGCACTATGATTGGCCCACCATTATGGACCAATCATAGCTCTTTATGTGTTTGAAACCCCTCTAGAGAGCTGTGATTGGCTAGCCAGAGTCCTGGTAGGAGCTGCTGAGGTTCCAATGGAGCATGCCTAGACCATTCTTTGCAAAGCAAGAATTTGGTCTAGTTCACTAGGCTAGTGGTCCTTCTAAACTGCCACCAGCTGAGTGTGAAGCTGCTGGGATGAAGATCCGCACCTCCTAAATCATGGCCATGGTCCGTAACTGGAAAAGGGTAGCCTGTCATGTCTGGGTGGGGCAGAGGGAGATGGAGCGGTGGTGATGCGGATGCTAAGCCGGTCTGTTTTGGCGAAGACGAGTTAAACCAACAAGCAAAGCTCACCTATGGTGGCCAAAAGAATAAAATAATGAACACATGCAGCTGAAAGGAATTTTCTCCTCAGGTGGCTGGGCTCAGCCTCGAAGGTAGGGGGAGGAGCTTGGACATTCTGGAGAGATTTAGGCAGGTGAACTAATACAGACAGATGAAGGAGCATACAGGTATGTGTTAACAGTATTAACATCTGGAGGTACTTAATAATGGATCACTCCAGATCAGGTACACTTGATCATTAAGGACGGGTGTTTTCCCATGGCTGTACTGGACCTAAACCATAAAACTCAACTCGTTCTCCAGACACCACAGGAATGGGTTTCCTCATCCACTCCTCGGAGATGATGAACACCTGGTGCATTACAGTATGGGTCAGCAGGAGCTCAGGAGGTAGAGCGGGTTGTCTAGTAATCAGAAGGTTGCATGTTCGATCCCAGAGAATGCTGCTGTTGTGTCCTTGGGCAAGACACTTAATCCCCCTTGCCTACTGGTGGTGGCCAGAGGGACCGGTTAGGGTTAGGGTGCCAGTGCTCAGCAGCCTTGCCCCTGTCAGTGCGCCCCTGGGCAGCTGTCGCTACATCGTAGCTCATCGCCAGCGTGTGAATGGTACACTGTAGTGTAAAGCACTTTTGAGTCCTCGAACTCTGAAAGGAGCTTCACAAGTGTGAGTCGTTATCGTTTACAGTGAGGACCAAACCTTCCTGATGTTACCTGGTTTTTCTCCTCGTCCTGGTGCCCCCCTGCTCCATCTCCTCAGCGGCTCCACCTGTCTCTGGGAGGTCCAACTCCTCCTCCATGGCTGTGCTGTGCAGTGGTTTACCTGGGCACACAAAAGAGTTGGTAGTTAGACGCCAGGTTTGGAAGAGACCCAGTCATCAGTAGCAGAAAGACTCACAGTGGTTGCACCGCAGCCCCTCCATGAAGATGGCTGTGTCGATGGCAGACCGGTCAGGAGAACCCACCTGAACACCAGAGCCGTTTAAGCGTCTAGTCGCTGTTTTATCGGTTCTACATCTTCCTACCTGGTTCTGCTCCTGCGGGCCGGGGCGGACTTGGGCTCTTCTCTTTCTGGCGCTGCGGGTTAAGGTAAAGGATAAAATAAAAGCCAGGCGGGAATGGGTTAAACCGTTAGGTGTTCTTTTAGCTAAAACTAATAAACACGCAGTGAAACAAGCTCAAGCCGCTTCACAAACGTCTTACCTCATTGCGCTCGTCCTGTTGATTTCTGCCGCGCGAGCAAAGTCAGCTTCCCGCAGTAATTTGGTTTGAGTTCCGGACTGAACCATTCCAGTTCTGGGGTAGGGGGGCTTCTTCTTCTTCTTCTGTTCTTTAATGGCGGGTGGCACCTAGCTTGTAGGTGCATTTCCGCCATCTGCTGAGCTGGAGTGTGGATTTATTTTATAACTCTCGATTTAGAAGGTTCTTCTATACTCAGAGATCCACCTTCATTTTCTTTTAACTACTTTGTGCCCGTGCACTCATATACAGAGATAGACGCACCCCGCCTATGGGCATGCACGGATTATATTAAGGGGTGCAGCATTTGTAAAAGGTGTCATTGGTTGCCCTAGTCTCTTTTTGTCAAGGTCGTGCTAACAGAGCTGGGGCAGAATTTTTTTTAAAGAACTTTTAATGAACCTTTGCAAAACGAACAAAAGTGACTACATTTATAAAATTTGTTAGCAGAATGACATTACAGAGTAGTTCCGAAGTTCGTGTTCATCTCAACTTGCATTTTGTAGATACAATTCAACTTGGTATAGTAAGACAATAAACAAACAAACAAACAAAAAAACACAACAAAAAATCAAAACAAAAATAGAACATGAAAGGATACAAGTAAGACAGCATGAAAAAAACAAATTATATGTGTATATAAATACAAATTTTACAAGGGGGAAGTTAAAGAGCAAACAAGATCTATTGTGTATACCATCCAAAAAGCGGTTAGACATTAGTGTTCATAATGAAATTAGAAAGCTTTATAGCATTGGGGGTGGACATTTTACCTAAGGATCTCAACAGCAGTTTAATTTCATTTTTGAGATTATTCCACGTAGGTGGATTTTTGAGATATCGGCATTTGTGTATGAAAATTTTTGTTAAGATTATGAGATTATTAATTATAAATTCATTATTTTTATCTTTTAGTATAATGCCAAATAAGATATCTTCAACTATGAAATTGTTTATATAAATTTGATTGGAGTTCAGCCAATCCTGGAGAGAATTCCACATCATTAAAATTTGATCACATTCATAGAAAAGATGTTTGGTCGATTCATCGTTTTGTTTGCATAAGTAACATTTTTCCACATTGAACTTAAATCTAGTTTGTATAGAATGGTTAGATGGGTAAATATCATTCAAGGTTTTAAAATTGACTTCTTTATACTTTGGGGGTGTAACAGAATGGAATGCTGGTGCAGCCATATGTAGGGGAACGAAATTAGGCTCTGCAAATATGTAAATATGGCTGATTTTGGTTAATATGTACCAATCCTAATTTAGGCTCTGTTACTTAATTTGTGATATTAATTTTATTAATTAATAACCAAATTTTATATTGTTAAGAAGACTCAAGGGTTGTTTTCATCGATAAACTGACGATAATATCTGTGTGTCTGTGTTTCAGTTCAATGAGGAAACCAGTTTGACAATTAAAAGTTTTAATTCTTCAAATTAAACTAATGATTTTGAAATTGACAAACAGGAAATAACAATCAACATTGGCAACTTTGTGGGACAATCTTTAACAGTTGATATGCTGTTCTTGCTCAAATAGACCTAATGTTGGGGAAGGAAGATTGAGAGTAATATGATGTGGTTATGGATGCGTGTGTGTGCAAAGTGTAGTGAGAATTGAACATGAGGTGAGATGGATGCGTGTGTGTATCTGATTTTGCTTCAGGAAGAAACAGGTGTCTGAGTGAAAAGTGATGGTTTGGATAAACTTAGGTTTAGTTGGAAAAGATGCATCAAAACGCTATCTGTCGTGTTCTGCCTCACCGAAAATCGGACCCCCTGTTGGACCCGGGACGTCACCTTAGGATGATGTTTCATCCAGGGCACCTTGGCTGGCAAAGAAGACAAAGATGCGCCGCGAACCGGTCCAGAGTTGCCCTCGGTACACGTTGATGGTAAAGCGTTTTGTCGATGCGCTTTCTTAAGTTAATTCACTCAGAAATCAAAGACTCTGTATGAGTCTGCGTTAGAAGTTGCGATTCAGCTGTCCTGTCTGGCTGACAGGAACAGCGTGAGAGGGGGAGGGGGGGGGAGAGAGGGGAGAAACGAGCCAACCGGCTCCCCCCTTTGGTTTCTTCAGGTCCTCTCTCTTTCGTTGTCCAGCACGAACTGAAATCATAAGACTGAAACTTACCAAAAGCCTTTCTCTTCTCAAAGCAAACGTGTGCGTCAGCAAATGTGTTTTGGAGTTTACTGTGAGAATCTGTGTGTGGGTGTGTTTGAGTGTGTGTGTGAAGGTCAGTAACAAACATCCTCAAAAATTATCTAATTAAGTATGGATTCATTAATCCATTATAATTACCCAAAGCATAAGAATCATTCATTTGATTAAAACACATTTATAATGAACAAAATGATGATTATTCTTTAACATTAAAATAAAGAAAGGAAGTTTTAAGACTTGTTATGACTACATTTATGGGAACAACATCTTCTGTGGGAACAACATCTTCTGGCATGAAGCTGCAGGTGGCAGATGTTATGGTTTCCTCCCAGACTCGCTGGCGTTCAGGTCTTAATCTGTGGGTGAAAGTTCTCAGCGACCCAGCTTTGACCCAGCTGAGTCCAACACCACCTTTGTGACAGAAAACCCATATTTCCTCACGTTACAGGGGTAAAGAGAATTTTAGATAGTTGGTTCTCAAAATTTTTATTTCTTCTTTTGAAAAGTTTTGTAGTAACGAGAATCGGAGTATTGGGTTTGGATAAAAGGTTTTGTTTAATTTGTTTCTCAGGAAAATATTATTACATTTTTTATTGAAAATTTCTATCCCATCAACTGCTAATATTTTGAGTCTAGGGTTAAATATATAACCGATAGAAGCTTTAACTAGATGAACCAGAGCACTTGGGATATTTTTAATCACCTTATTATATTCATTTTCAGAAAAATCAACATCATATTTGAGATTGAAGTTCTTAACTGAAAGAATATTTCCATTTTCGTCTAAAATATGTGTCACTGACCAAATTCCTCTGTCCTTCCAACTTTTAACAAATATGGTTTTGGTTCTATCCAAAATAGTTCTATTATTCCATATCGGAACATCATGTGGGCTGAAGTTATGTTTGAAAACCATTTTTCCAAAAAAGAGGACTTGTCTGTGGAATTCGGAAAGTTTGAGAGGCAACTTTGGGATTTCAAAATCACATCTTAATAGGAATTCCATTCCTCCAACTTTTTCAAATATAAATTTTGGAATTGTATGCCAAATTTCCTCTCTATTTATTAAGAAGGATTTAAGCCATTCAATTTTTAATACTACATTCAAAATGTCAAAATCTATTGCTTTTATACCACCATCTTCCTAATTCTTAATTAAATCACTTTTTCGAATGTAGTGATTTTTGTTCTTCCATATAAAATTAAGATTCATTTTATTTATTTCTTTAATAATTTTAGGAGATATGGCCAATGATTGAGCAGGGTATATCGGTCTAGAAATGGATTCCATCTTTGTTAGAAGAGTTCTTCCAAATACTGTCAGATCTCTTTGAAGCCAACTGTTTAAAATTTTCTTGTTTTTTTCTACTGTGTTCAGAAAGTTCTTCTGGTTTCTATCACTCGGAACATTTGTAATATAAATTCCTAGATAGCAGACTTCTTTTTTAACAGGGATGTTAAACAAGGAGGTCTCCGGGCCTTCATGTATTTTTATTAGTTCACATTTATCAATAGTGAGATTTAGTCATGACGCCTCTGAAAATAATTTGTTTTTAAAGCTGTTGGGATTTGGTTTCTGTCTTTTAAGAACAGGGTTGTATCATCCACTAATTGACTAACTAGGATAGATTTATCATTTATATTTAGACCTTGGACTTTAGACGATTTTAGATGAGCAGCTCAGTGACTAAAATGAATAAGAGGGGGGAAAGACTGCATCCTTGTCTGATTCCTCTTCAAATTTGAAATCTAGGGCAGGTTCCATTAGAGAGTGAAACGGAACTAGTAATATCTTTATGTAACATAGCAATTATATTTAAGAATTTTTCACCAAAGCCAAAGAATTGTAGGGTTTTAAGTATAAACCTGTGTTCCACAGAGTCAAATGCTTTAGTAAAATCCAAGAATAAGATCAATCCATCATCTGGGAACAAAGATTTGTAATCCATAATATCAAGAACCATACGAATATTATTGTGTATTGATCTTCCTTTTAAAAAACTTGATTGAGTTGGACTAATAACTTTTAATAAACCCTTTTTCAATCTAGTAGCCAATGCAGTTGTCAGGATTTTATAATCTGTGTTTAATAAAGTTATTGGTCTTAGATTATTTAGAAATCGTTTGTCTTTACCAGATTTGGGTATTAATTTAATTATTCCTTGTTTCATTGTTACCATTAGTTCATTTGAATTAATACATTCATTTATAGCATTATGAAGTAAACATTTAATTTCATCCCAAAAATGTTTATAGAAGTTTGACGTCAGACCATCAGGACCAGGTGAACGATTTAAGCGCATCTTTTTTATTGCCTCATCCAGCTCTACTAATTTCAAGTCTACCTCACAATCATTTTTAAAACTGTTTTCAATTTTGGGGATATTATGCTGAATTAATTTAAAAAAGGTTTCCGCATTTCCTTCATCAAATGAGGCTTCATAGATTTTGCTGTAAAATTGAAATACTTCTTTAGCAATTTTTTTAGAGTCTGTACATTCTTTGTCCTCAATTATGAGGGATTAGATAGAGTTTTTACTTTGTCTTTGTTTTTCTAACCTGCAGAAGTACGCTGTACTTCTTTCCCCCTCCTCCATCCATCTGGCTCTTGACCGAATATAAGCTCCTTGAGCTTTCTGTAAATAAATTTCATCCAATTCGTTTTGTGCTTTGGCTAAGTTTATTCTGTCTTCTTCACACCAATCAATTTTACCATATATATCAAGAATGATTTGAATGAGATTTGACTCCTTCTCATTTTTTTGTCTTTTTAGTTTTTTGCTAAAGAAAATAGTGTTTCCTTATTGAAAATTTTAGAAAATCCCATTTTTGTACAGCTGTTTGAAGATCATTATCTTTTTTAGTGTCTCTTATAATTTTCTTTATGCCGTCACAATATTCCCTATTTTCTAGTAGACTATGATTCAATTTCCAGTAATCACTAATATATTTTTTCTTCTTGTAAACATGTTATGTTTAAATTAACTACACAGTGCTCTGTTAAAGGACTACTTGATATTGTTGAAGAACATTTATAGTCTGCTATAGCATTAGATATTAGCCAATAGTCAATTCTTGAGGATGCCTGACCATTAGGTTTTCTCCAAGTAAAGGATCTAGCATATTTATTTTGCTCTCTCCAAATATCCACTAGATTATTCTGGTTCATAAAGTCACTCATTATTTGATTTGGATGATAATAAGAGTATTTGCTTGGCCATCTATCTAACCATTCATCCTGAGTTAGATTAGAATCCCCTCCCATTATGATATGGTCTATGGCATATTTATTTTTAAATTCTTCAATAATAAAGAGAAGACATTTGTTTTTCTGTTCATTATTGTACCCATAAATGTTAATTAACATCACAAGTACCCTGTCTACTTTCGTTATGCATGCAATCCAGTGTCCATCAGAGTCAGCTTTGACTATTAATACCTCCCCTTCAAGCTTGTTGAAAAATATTGCTGTCCCAGCTGAGCGATTGGACCCGTGACTGAAGAGGATTTTGTCTCCCCACTGTTGAGACCAGAACTTTTCATCAGTTTTGTCCGAATGAGTTTCTTGAAGAAAAAAGAAGTTAGATTTTTGCCCCTTGCAGAATAAAAAGATAGCCTTGCGTTTAATTGAGTCTTTGAGTCCCCTTACATTTAAAGAAAATAAATATTTGTCTTAAGTTGAACCATAAAACACACAACACAACTGAATAATAAATGGGTTTAAAACCACCAAAATAATATTACCGCTAAGAGGTAGGAGCTGAAACTTTTGAAAGCCCTTATTCTGAGTGCTCCGAACAAAATGTCATTTTCACCTTTGTAGTTCATTATCCTGTTATCCGTTTTCCGTTGATGAAGCCGTGTGAACCTCTGAAGCCCGCCGTCTTCCCCTCCTTTCTAGCCTGGTCAATCTTGGGCCACAGCGCCATTTGTGAGTGCATGTCCTCCATGCGGTTATCTAAACGTCTACCAAGCAAGTCAATGGCTTTTAAAATAGCATCTAACGGCATCTCATTTTTACACTCTTCGGTCGTACCTTTAGTCTTCTTTTCATTCAGGGTTTTTTCCGGCGTTTCCCTGCCTCGCTTCCCTATGCTAGCAACATCCATGGGTGAAGCGTTACCCCACGAATGTTAACCAAGCCCCCACAATGCGGCTCTCCGGGATAGCCTTGTTCTGTGAGGATACAACAGACCCGTCCTCGAAATGTGGGCGGAGCGAGGCCGCATTTGAGGACGCGAGAATGACTATTCTTGGAATTCGGACAGTACTCGTCGCTGCGCTGTGACGTCATCGCACTCTTACAAGCATTCTTCCCGTGGATTCGGACACACCCAAGTCTCTTTTTATCAAGGTTGTGCTAACAGAGCTGGGGCAGAAATTTGCAAGCACAACAGTGGTGTGACGTAGCTACATAATGGCGTTACGTGTCTCCGCACCAACGCAGACGGAGAAGAATACATCAGGCTTAAGGTGTTCCCTGGCCAGCTGAGAAACTGAGGCCTAGTTTATACTTCTCAGTCTGCGTTGGGACAGAGACACACAACGCCATTATGCGTCAGCGCAAGGGCTCTCCGATGGGCTCACAGAGGGTGACAGAGACATGCCCAAAATTTCAAACATCCGTCAAAAGTGACTTGTGATTGGTCAGGACGCCGCTTCCTGTATATTCGTCACCAGCACCGCTGTAGCTCCATACAAAGGTAAACAGATATTTAGCGGCAGACCCAGAACAGATTGAAGAACGTATAGCAGAAAAAGTCTGAAAATATTAACATTTATTCACCCGTGAGTGAAGACGTACAACATACGGAGCAAACGTGGACGGAAAACGTGGGTTTGGAGGTGGCGACCGCAAGAAGAGGTAGAGGAGAATGAAGGACAAATTTAGTTGTGCTATTAAGTCTCTGAAATATATGAACACATTAGTAAATACACCATGGGGAGCCGGTTGGTTTATGCTTGACGCGTCCGCGAGGTCCGCACAGCTCCGCGCGGCGAAATTGCGTCATTTTAACAACCACGCCCCTCCACCGCGTCTCCGCACGGCTCAAAATTTCCGCAACGCGCACCTCGGAAAATTTCTAACCACGCGGACGGACGGACGCGGAAAAACATGGCGGACCGGCAAGATCTAGTATGGCAGAGGTTCGTAAATACAGAAATTTGTATGATTCAGCTCTCAGAGATCACCGTGATCAACATGTTGTTAATAATTCGGGGAGAGAAATAGCTCGCACTGTCGGAAAAGACGAGGACGCTGTTAAAAATGCTGAAATGCCATGTTGTAGACAGTAATTTCTACTTCTACTATGGTGTAGTGTTGGATGCATGCCGTAGAGCTCCATGCTGCCCCGTTCAGTTTGGGAGAATATTGGCTCACCGCAGAGACGAGCCGCATGAACCATAAACGCTGCAAGTTGTGAAGCTCGTTCCAGCCGCGAGCCGCATCACCAAGCGGAAAGTGAATGCGTCAAGCATAAACCAAGTTTTACGCTGCTGTCCCCGTGACCCGACCTAAAGCAGCTGCAAATGGATGGATGGACCCATGTCATCCTATTTGTAGCTGCTTTCACATCAGGACCAGCCCAGGTATGGTAGAAATGGTCCAACACACCACTGCTGACTGACTCAAAATAAAGTCTACTATTAGGAGGAGCCTCTGACTGGCGGGTTGAATCAACCAGGGGGGCCTTCCTGCATGTGCAAATAATTATCATTCTGGATACTTTGGAGACATGTCTGACTGAAGCTATCTCTGTCTGAGGACACACACACACACACACACACACACACACACACACACACACACACACACACACACACACAGTCACTTCCACACCATGGGTCTCCAGAAGAACGAAAAAATGAATGCAAGTCAACGGGGCTAAAAACGCTCTTTTCTAATTCCGCTTGTTATGGGCCATGAATTTCACATATGATGTCCGTGAATTTTAAAGACACATTTTGATACCAAGAACGTGCTTATTTTCGAACGGAGAGAAATGCTATTTTAGGTTTTGCATGAAAATAAGTCCAGGACTAAAAATGCACTTCACCAAAGTGACGTCATCAAACCAGACACGAAGAAAACTGACGGAAAAGGGCTGTAAGTTCAGCAAACTTCCCACAGGAGGAAAGAACCACCATAAATCTGGTCAGTGGTAGGTTGCAGCAACGCTAGGGTAGAGGAGATTATGTGGTGACGTCACATATGCGATGTGCCAATTTCTAGTCTGTAGTCATGCTAATTACGAACTTTTACAAGCTAATAAATCTCAAAGTACGTGACTGGCGTGGTCGAAACACCCATCATTACTTTTCATTTAAATTGCAGTACAACATATGCATGATCCAGGGCGTAAGGCAAAGCGGGTTATACAATAGCGTTTTAGCCCCGTTGACTTGCGTTCATTTTTTCGTTATTCCAGAAACCCATGATGCAGAAGTGACTTAGGCTCCCTGTCGGGGACCGGATACCACAGAACAGTGCTACACCCTCTTTTGTCCAGGCAGGGAATTGCTTTGCAACCCTCCGCTGCCTGAACAGAAGTTTTAATGTGAAAACCTGTCCCGACACTCTGTGTGAGTGTCTCCATTGTGGAGCTCACGGAGAAGTATAAATCAGGCTTTAGCATATGTCAGATGAGACGGAGAACGCAAGCTTGTGATTGGTCAGGACGCCGCTGTAGTCTACAACACCACCATTGCGCCCTCATAAACAGAGAGCCAAAGATGTCTAGCAGAAAACACTGAGCAGCTTGAAGAATACCTCGTGGAAACCCCCCAAAAATATGAACGTTTTATTCCCCTGGGACTGGAGGAGTGAAAAGATACGCAGCAAGCGTTTTATTCGTGGACAGGAAACGTGAGGTTAGAGGTGGCGAGCGCATGAGGAGGTGGAGGAGGATGAGGGACAAATTTGTCTGTGTTAAAAAGTCTTTGAAATACAAACAAACACAATAGTAAATGCACCATCTTGGACTGGATACATAACAGGATAGCACAACAGCACTACGCCCTCTGTTGTCCTGGCGAGAAATTGCTTTGCAACACTCCCCAGCAGACGTGGCTGAAGGCAAAACGTCTCCGTCCGTGCGTCTGTCCCTCATGGAGCTGATGGAGACGTATAGTCTCTCTAGTGTGTCCTGGGTCTTCCTTTAGGTCTCCTCCCAGTTGGACGTGCCTGGAAAACCTCACCGGGGAGGCTTCCAGGAGGCATCCTAACTAGATGCCCGAGCCACCTCAACTGGCTCCTCTCAATGTGGAGGAGCAGCGGGTCTACTCCGAGCCCCTCCCGGATGACGGAGCTTCTCACCCTGTCTCTAAGGAAGAGCCCAGACACCCTATGGAAATAACTCATTCCAGCCGCTCGTATCCGTGATCTCATTCTTTCGGTCACTACTCAAAGCTCGTGGCCATAGGTGAGGGTAGGAACGTAGATCGACCGGTAAATCCAGAGCTTTGCCTTCTGACTCAGCTCTCTCTTCACCCTGACAGACCGGTACAACGCCCGCATCACTGCGGACGCAGCACCGCCAATCGATCTCCCCTGGTTAAGTGTTACGGGGTAGCAGTGAGCGTGGGTGGGGGCGGGCGAGGAGTGGATTCCTGCAGCCAAACTGAACTTATGGAGCCACACGTCCGGTCGTTTAGTAGTTAGTAGTTTTTGTGGCGCTACTACGGCCGGTTTTATTAGCGTTGGTGTATTTGAGAAAAAAAAAACCTTCAGGCAGCCTACCTTGGTACATTAGTGCAGGGAAAACTAACACCTTCTAATGCTTTGATGGAATGATGTCATTTCCTGTCATGTTTACAAATATTACTGCACATTATACAGATTTGTTTACTTTATTAATACTGAGAAACACAATTTCAAACAGTCGCTGTTCATTTTGGTTTTTTCCATTAATTATTATTATTAAAACAATTATAAATATAGTTTAAATGATCCAGAATGTGAATTTTTCATGTTTCTTTACAGTTTCAAGTAGGTGTCGTTAACACTTCCTTTACAGACTTTAACATGATTGCTTCAGAATACGTATACATCTGTTTTACTCACCAAAATAAGACTAAAGCTAAAACTAACTGGACAGCTAAATGGTGACTAAAATGAAAACTAAAACTAAATAAAAACATGTTATCAAAATTAATACTGACAGATGCAGAACTTCTTACACGCATTAGTAAGCAGCTGAAGACCTTAAAAAACACAAGACAGCAGATAAATATCACAGAACTGGTGAGAATAAAGTTAAAATACAACTATATGCTTCAGATAAGACCATGATGCATCGCTACCAATAATACACTGTTTTAGCAGCGTCATATTTGACATTATCGTGCACTGTAACAGTTTTGTTGCAGTGTTGAGAACATGTTAGCAGAGATGATCTCATACTAATTCTGCTGGTTCAGATCACAGTGATGTCATCAGACACAGAGGAACTAGAAATGTCTCTAATACTTGTAGAAGTATTCTTTTCTAGTATTTTGTGTTTTACTGTTTTGAACGTGTTGATCTGCTTGTTAGAAGGTAGACGGTGAGTGTGCAGATCAAACATATGTCAAAGATTCCTCCTGAGCCTGGACATGTGTGGACAAACAGAACACTCAGGCAGAAGAAACAAACCAGCATAGGCTTCAGGGGTCACTCCTAACATTAACAGAAGTCTGACCTGTCTGATGGACAGCCTGTTGGACGTTGGTCTTGTATTTTGTGTCACGTGTCCTTGATAAGTAAAAAGTTCCTTAAGTCTTCTTTGATCTTGCCGTTGCACAACTCAGTTTCTTCTTGATCTTTGGAAGGAGAGGAAGGCTTTTGCCGGGAACTACCCAGGGTTGGAGATGGTTGGGGGTCAGGTGGTGCAGAAGGAGCAGTGGATCCCTCCCGTCAGGTCTGTGATGACTCCTTCTCTCACAAGCTTTTGAAGCATCTGAGTCTCTCTGTCTACATTGTGCATCTTCTGCTGCTCCATGAAGCTCATGGGCAGGTGGTCGTAGTAGTGCAGCGGCATTCCCTGTTGGGAGACGTTATAGCCGAAGCCCGCCAGGCTGACCTCATCACACAGCAGGCTGGCTAGGTTCAGGGCAGTCATTCCCAGGGTTGGCACATTCTGCAGGACAGAGACAGCAGAGTCATCCAATAGTTATTTTAAAAGAGATGAGCCACTTTTATATAAAATGAGCACAAGTCTGGCTGCAGCAAGGGAAACATAAAGCCCATCTTTTAGTTCCAGGGCTTGAGTCCAGATATCAGGAGGACTATATCGTGCAGCGGAGAATCTGCAGCTGTGTACTATTGTGGAATTCACAAGGAAGGAGGCGGGTTTCATCAAATCTAAGCTTCTTATTTCAGTGTGCTTGTAATGGCTCACGAAAAAAAAATGTAAATACATATTTCTTTCAAAGATACACGTGAAAAGTGGCACTGGTAATATCTCATCGTTTATTGTGCCTGCTGTTCTAGAAGCTGTAATGTAGCACGGTCCTTTAAACTGACCTAGACCCCATTTATAAAGCTGCAAATGCACAAATCAGGGTCTGTATAAGAGGCCAAGCAGAGCATTTTTCTGCACCAGTAGCCATTAGGAGGTCATTGTAGACCTAACCCTAACCCTACCTGAGCTTCAGCAGGCCCGGCAGGAAGGGTTTAGAGGTCTTACACCTACAAAACCACCGTATCCACTGAGTTTCAATGACCTTCTCATTTCATTTATTTGACCCATTCAATATCAACACTTTTCAATCAAACAGTTCATTAATGTTTCATCAGCCACACCGGGGCTCACACACCTTCAGCTAAATGCTTTTATGAGCAATTACAGACATTACTTAAGTACCACACTGTAAATATTAGGGGTGGGTGCCATTAATCGATGTGGCGATGCATCTAAAAGCTTAACATGTTGTTTCGGCATCGATTATTGAACGTTGATGCTTAAAAAAACATAACATCAAAGTTTTGTTGCGAAGCCCGTACTAAAAAAATAAAAACATGTAACCGGAGCCTTAACGAGCGCGCCGCCCGGACTGTTTAGTGAGTGGCACTACCTCTTTGACCTCTTTCTCCATCCTGGAGACCGTCTCCCAACTACCGAAGAACTCAGAGAAGGCGAGGAGCATTACAAAAGCAATAGCTACTTTTATCGCGACGGATCTACGCCAGTATTCAGTAGTAAACAACAGGGGGTTTTGGTTAGTGGTGCGCACCATGGAGCCGCACTATAAACTTCCACACCAAAAGCCCTTTGCAGAAAAAGAAGTCCCCCACCTCTACGAGGAAACCAAAGCAAGCGTTCTGGAGTCCAGGAAGAAGGCAACCGGGATAGCGCTCACATGCGATGCATGGACATCGGTTGCCACCAAATCCTTCGTTACTGTAACGGCGCATTTTGTTCTTGCGTCGGACAAGAACGGGTGGAATTTGGTGAGTCACATTCTTCAAACTCGAGAGATGAGTGAGAGTCAAAGTAGCACCATGTTGGCTTTGCCCATCTCACACAACAGGAGGATGTAGGGGATCAAGAGGGAGGGGAGGGAGTGTGGAAGACAGTTAAGGTTAAGATGAGTATGAGTGTCACTCTGCTCTATTTTGTTGTGTTCACCTCACTGTACTGAAGCTCCAGGCTGAATATATGTTCAGTTGAATTATGCACTTTTATTCTGAAAATATGCAACATATTACCTTCAAATATAGCAGTTTTTTTCTGTTGCCTATGTTCCAGACTGAAAAAGCTGAATTATTTTATTTTGAGGAATGCACTTTTGATCTGTATGGCAGCTTTTTTGTAATGTTATCATATGGCAGACTCATTAAGTTTCCATTAAATAAATTTGATGGAAGTAAAAATCTTGTTTACTTGAATTAATCACCTCATTAAATCCGGGGCTTGCCTGTTTTCAGTGTTTCCCAACAATGGAGGGGGCACTAATGTAAGCAAAGCTTTCCCTGATCGAAGTTAAGTTAGTCAAAGTGCAAATATTTACACGTCATACAGTTATAAAATAAGACTTTGTCTTTGAAAAATAGTTAAATGTTAAAAAAATGTATTTACTAACAGAGAGTAGTTTTAGAGGAACTGAATTAATTGATAGGTTATTTATTTACAAATGTAGATAAAGAAGAAGACAAACTTGTATGAAAAAAGCATTAAAAATGTCAATAATCGAAGAATCGTGGCACCAGTAATCGAATCGAACCAAAAATCATTAGAATCGAAGCATCGAAGCTCCCATAATCGAAATCGAATCGTGAAGTACCCTTTTTGGAACACCCCTAGTAAATATTAATGAATATTAATGAAATAAGTCCAATGGGTGGTTTCAATGTGATCTGGGACTGTAAAAAGGACAGAAAAACATTTAAGGGTATAAGGGACACTCAACCTACAAGAATAACAGGACAACCCAAAACTAAAAAAGACTTGGCCTTCAGTAATAAGCCTAAACGGATTATTAACTCCTCTAATATTCTTACTCACATCACACTCTCATTACTTTGTACAAAACTCACAAAATCAAGGGTCAAGAATGAGTTCTCAAATTCATCCAATAACAGGTCTCTCTACGAATTCATACCAAGAAACCAGCGACAACATATATCAAGAGTAGGGATGTCCCGTTCCGATATCGAGATCAGAAGTAATTCGATACGGGCCCAAAAACACTGTATCGGATTATATTGGCCCAAAAACACTGGATCAGATTACATTGGCCCAAAAACACTATCGGACTATATCGGACAGCATCAAAAATCTCCAATATAAGCGTTCCGTTAACGTTCACATTTTAGCAACCAACGGTTAAGAAAAAAGTGAATTTTATACTTACTGTTATTGGCTCTTGTTCTCTGATTGAGTAATATCACTTGATCAGGCCTTCCACACATACGTACATACACACTACGAAATAGGTAAAAGTACAGATGATTTGTGCTGATATTGTATTGCATTGATATCGGTATTGGTCAATACTGAAGGCTGCAATATCGGTTTCGTATCGGACTTATCCACATAAAGTAAATGCATGGTGTCATGTGTTTTTGTCAATATAGATGCCTTAAAAATGTCAAAGGTAAAGAAGTTATTAATACATGATGCAAATGTTAGACCTGAAGCTAAGTTAGCTAATGTCAAAGTTTACTTCACCAATGGTGGTTAGCATCAACGTCTTAAGTTAGGATGACCATACGTCCTCTTATGCCTGGACATGTCCTCGTTTTGGACATAAAATTAATTGGTAAAACATCAGGAAGTGTCTAGGTTAACCTCATATTGTTTCATTGACTGTCATGCAACATTTTAAATACAGCCAATGCCCTGTCTGGATGACGTGAAAGATCAGAAATAAAAGTTAAATAGAGAAACAAAGCAAACGAGGAGCTGCATGCATGTGTTGTAACTAAAATACTGAACCGTGAGTGTAGTTTCACAGATGGATTTCTGAAAAATATACCCAATGTTCAGTCGTGGCTGTTGGAAACTAAATCCTGCTTTATCTGAGAAGAAAGGTGAGCAGCACACCTTAGCTAACACGGTCAGAGCTGCTACAGCAGGTTATGAGTTCATTTCGGGACAACACAGAGTAATTATTATCCGAGGTTTATCAGTTATCACTGACAATCATTTAACTCCGAGACGTCGCCGTAAAAACAGTCCGACTTTGATGAATCAGGACATGTTTACAATCAGTGGATTGCTCGTAATCTCAGGATTATAATGATGCTACTGACATCACTCTATCTGAATAACGGGATGCAACAGAACTAAAATACTGCAGTCTGAACATCAAGTGATCTTGGATAACAATAGAAAGAGTGATGATTATTCTGATCTACTGTTGGTGTGGGTCAGGTTTTTAAAATAAACTATATTATCTTATTTTCTCTGTCAGGTAAAACACTAAACATGACTCAGAGATTCAGTGGAGAAAATATTCCTGTATCATTTTTAAAAACACATTTCCATCAATCATTAACAATATTTTTCCACAGATATGAATAAATATTTTTTAGTCTATTTGATTTATTATGCTGGTTTTTCAAAGCAAGCCTTCAAAGGTACGTGGGACAGATGAACATGACCTTCTCTGACTGTATTCACCTCAACAATCTGCTATTAGATTAAGTATGTCAGGGTATCTGCAGGTTTAAGGGAGCCAAATTTAAGACTTTTTAAGACCTTTTTTAAGACCACTTTGACCAAATTTAAGCTATTTTTTAAATTAAATTCAAGCTATAATTTCCAGCTATTGCCTGGAACCGGTGCTAACCACGTCGCAAACGTGGGATTAGCCATCCAGTTACCATTAATACTGCACTTCCCCATGGCGCAAGCTCCCACTAGCTTAACCAGCTAATGTGCACATCTAAAAATAGCCCCCTTTCACAACCAACTGAACGTGTACGGTTCCGCTTACACCAACATCATACACAAAAAATGCTGAACACAAACTAGAAATTCACGAAAATTTTATAGAAATAAAAGAATCTTGTTTATTGGGTCTTTGGTAATTTAAGACGTTTGGAAAATGGATTTAAGGATTATTTGTCATTTTTAAGGATTTTCAAGGCCTTAAATATGGAAAAGCAAATTTAAGACTTTTTAAGGACCCGCGGATACCCTGGTATGTTGTAATCTGAATCCATATTAATGTATATGTAACCCAGGTTATCTTCCAGAGTTATTGAGCCTAAATTCCTTTAAAAAATGCTCCATTGTTAGGCACCGTTTTTCGGTAGTATAAAAATTACGAGGGTTACTTGAACGCAGCATGCAGCCGAGCTGCGCAGCCCTCCCCACACCGGAGAATATTAAAACGTTTTTGTCCGTTAGGCTGCAGAGGTTCAGCTAACTGCCGTCAGCGAAGTAATAGATGACTGGAAACTTCTGGGAATGTAAGGTTCATCACTTGAGAAGGGTTTAAGATTATTTGTGAGGAGGTTTTATTGAAACAAAAATGTTTTATGATTATAGAGTGTGTTCGCTACTGACGGAGAAACACTACTGTGAAGCCAGATTCGACACGTCTGATTTCTAGTCTTTTATTTACCGGTTTTTACAAGCTGATAAATGTCATCAAACACACCCAGAGCCCACAAACCAGACAAATACAC